CCCCAAAACCCCAAAACCCCAAAACCCCAAAATCCAAAATTGGCTTAAACCATAATCTAATTCTTAAAATGTCCCAATCCGATTTAAAAAATACACCCACTTTCTTCAAAGAATTTATTGTAAACTTTATCTGATCCCAGTTCTGATGAATTAGACTCAAAATACTCTATCGCTTTAAAGCTATGCGTGAAGAACCAGAAGTTTTGAGGAATACCCAAGAAGCTTTCTCAGAGCGAGATTCTTTAGGTTGAGTGGATATTGAGAAGGCAGTGTTAAGAGTAGAAGAGGAGGAGAGTAGGATACAGAAGAGGGAGGAGATGAAGGAAGAAGAGAAATTTAGGGATTTAGAGGGGGAGGAGAGAAAGAAACAGAGGGAAGATTTGGGAATACAGAAGAGGGAATTTGATTGTTGGAAGTATAAGGTTGATTGGGAGGGAGAGAGACAGGAGATGGAAGGAGGAGAGCTTGAGAGATGGAAAGGGATTGATAGCACAGGGATGAAGTGATTTATGGTTGCTTCTCTGCAGAGCTTGCTGAGTCTTCCAGAGTTTGTGAAATATTTTTCTGGTCATCCTGATGGAGATTTAGAGGTAAGAAACAAGCATTTAATTTTTGATGAAAAAATGAATCCTGATGCTGGCATTTCTTTATTATTGCAAGACTTGGTGGATCAATATTACAACTCTAATGCTTTAGTTTTGGAGATCATTAGATTCAGATCTAAATTCTCAGAGGATTTCCCAATGAGGGAGGAGCATGATTCTTGTGAATTTATTTTGAAGTTACTACAAACTCTTCAAAATGAATTGAATCCTCCAGAACAAAAATTTAATCCAAGTGGAAGTATAGATCATCGTGAAGTCTGGAGGAAATATAAGAAGTCTCATCCTTCGATAATTGATAAACTGTTTATTGGAATAGAAGAGACAACCTATCAATGCGAGGGATGTTCTCATGAAAGAAAAGTCTATGAAGAATTCAAGCATATTTCTATACTTTGTATCATGAACTATAAAAATTCCAACAGAAGGGTTTCTGAACTTCCTCTCAATGTCCGATCACTCTCAAACAAGTACAATGAGATGTAAGGAATGCAAGAGTATACATAATTTTACTGTTAATAAGAGGATCGTGAAGCATCCTAAGTATCTAATGATAGTGTTTGGGAGACAAAATCCGTTTGATGATAAAAGAATTGACGGCTTCGTAGACTATCCTAAAAGCTTTACACAGCTTGACCTACAAACCAATCAAGAGATCAAATATACTCTCAACAATGTAATCATTAATGTTGCTGGGACTAACTGCGCTCACTACTCAACGATCTGCCGCAGAGGCTCCCAATGGGTCCACCTTGAAAACACCAAAACTAAGCTCATTGACCCTAGCGAGTTCAAGAACCCTCACGCGTACATCCTGTTCTACGAAGCTGAGGATCTCCATTTCGCATAACACACTCAGCTAAAACTCCAGTCTGTTCAACTCAAGCTCTCTTTCTCTTAATTTGCCAGCTTGGCACCCAAGTTTGGAAGCTGAGTGATTAAGGAAGGGAAGGAATTTTAGGATTTTGGAAAGGATTTGGGAGAATGGAGTCACCGTTGAGAAGTAGGGTAAGAAAAGTTGGGATAAAATTGGTTTTGATAAAACTGATTCGGTGTGATACTAGAGGATATTAAAACACACTTATTGTAAGAACCTAATGGTTAGTTTAGGATTTTCTAAAATATGATTTATCCGGGGTTTTGGGGTTTTGGGGTTTTGGGG